GAGAGGGGGGGGGAGAGAGAGGGGGAAGCATTCAGCATATGTCAGAGCGTTGACGCTTCTCCATGAGGGAGAAGAAATTGGAGAGGAAATCGGGGAGAACCCGGAGAGAAGGTTTCCCTCCACCCATCCCAGGAGGGGATTCACAACAGCTCAAAAACCTTCAAATAATCCAGAAAAACCTTCAAAAATCCAGAAAGATTTAAGAATGCAGGCTTTTATTTTTCATTTCCCTCCCCCCAGGTCAGTCCCACTCTTCCCAGTATGACTATTCCTTCAAAAGCCCAGTTTCTCCATAGATTACCTGCCCTAGAGCATGAAGCACAGCCCACACCTACTCACTTGGGACTGAGAAAGCAGGACGCGTTTCTTCACTTTCATCTACTTAAATTGCTAAAGAAGAACGTTTTTTCAGCCCAAATGAGGGTCCTCACCTCATCGTTGAGCCAGTTGAGGTTATTGAGGGTCTGAATGTCTTTCCGAGTGATCGTTAACCGAAACGCTTCGCTGAGGACCTCGTCCTGGTTCCCACCTCGGAACACGTTCTTTATTTCCTTTTCCATCTCCTGCAGGGAGGACACGGAGAGAACGGGAAAAGGGAAAGCACCTGCTGGTCCCATCACAAAAGCCGGGTTCAAACCCAGTTTATTCTCTGCTCCTCAAAGGATAAACTGGCTACAAAAGGCACACGGTAAAAAAGGACGGTTTCTACGCAGAGATCTTGGCAAATCACCCCCAGATTTAGAGCTTTTAGGCCCAAAAGTGCTCGTTTGTGTCCACCAGATCCCAGATTTACCTCGGTGATTTCAGGGAACTCCTCTTCGCCGTCAGCAGATTTGGCGTCCTCCTTCTCTTCCGGCACCACTGTGACAGGGATCTCCTTCTCCAGGGGAACGCGGAGGTTTAAATCCACCAGGTCCTGCACCGAGTGCTCCTGCTCCTGCAGCCGCTGGAGGAGAGCCCCTGGGATTAGGTGGCACCCAAGGAATCACTTCCCCGGGGCTCACCAGGGGTGACAATCATCATGGATTGTCATGGAATTGTCCGAGTTGGAAGGATGAGCCAGTTGAGGTTATTGAGGGTCTGAATGTCTTTCCGAGTGATCGTTAACCGAAACGCTTCGCTGAGGACCTCGTCCTGGTTCCCACCTCGGAACACGTTCTTTATTTCCTTTTCCATCTCCTGCAGGGAGGACACGGAGAGAACGGGAAAAGGGAAAGCACCTGCTGGTCCCATCACAAAAGCCGGGTTCAAACCCAGTTTATTCTCTGCTCCTCAAAGGATAAACTGGCTACAAAAGGCACACGGTAAAAAAGGACGGTTTCTACGCAGAGATCTTGGCAAATCACCCCCAGATTTAGAGCTTTTAGGCCCAAAAGTGCTCGTTTGTGTCCACCAGATCCCAGATTTACCTCGGTGATTTCAGGGAACTCCTCTTCGCCGTCAGCAGATTTGGCGTCCTCCTTCTCTTCCGGCACCACTGTGACAGGGATCTCCTTCTCCAGGGGAACGCGGAGGTTTAAATCCACCAGGTCCTGCACCGAGTGCTCCTGCTCCTGCAGCCGCTGGAGGAGAGCCCCTGGGATTAGGTGGCACCCAAGGAATCACTTCCCCGGGGCTCACCAGGGGTGACAATCATCATGGATTGTCATGGAATTGTCCGAGTTGGAAGGAATCATCCAGTCCAACTCCCCGGCCAAAGCAGGGTTGCCCAGAGCACATCACTCAGGAGCATCCAGGTGGAGCTTGAAGATCTCCAGAGAAGGGGACTCCACACCCTCCCTGGGCAGCCTCTTCCAGGGCTCTGCCACCCTCACCCCAAAGAAGTTCTTCCTCACATTGGAGTGGAACTTCCCATGGTCCAGCTTGTGCCCGTTGCCCCTCGTCCTGTCACTGGGAACCACTGGAAAGAGTCCGGCTCCATCCTCCCTCAACCCACCCTTTAGATCCTTGGCAGCACCACTAAGGTCTCCCCTCAGCCTTCTCTTCTCCAGGCTGAAGAGTCCCAGCTCTCTCAGCCTTTCACAGAATGACATGGGGTGGGAAGGGACCTCTGGAGATCATCTCCTCCAACCCCCACCCAGAGCAGGGTCACCCAGAGCAGGTTGAATTCATCCAGGTGGGTTTGAATATCTCCAGAGAAGGAGACCACACCACCTCTCTGGGCAGCCTCTGAGGGTGGCAGAGCCCTGGAAAAGTCAAGAAGTTCCTCCTCATGTTGAGAAGGAACTTTTTATGTCCCAGTTTGTGCCCGTTTCCTCTTGTCCTGTCCCTGGGCACCACTGGAAGAAGACTGGCCCCATCCTCCTGACCCCCACCCTTGATGAGATCCCCCCTCAGTCTTCTCTTCTCCAGCCCCAAAAGCCCCAAGTCCCTCAGCCTTTCCTCATCAGGGAGATGCTCCAGGATCCTCAGCATCTTTGTGGCCTCTGCTGGACTCTCAGTAGCCACCCTCCCTTACCTGGCTTTGCAGCTGTAAGGCCAGCGCCTTCTGCTCTTCGATCTGCCGCCACCTCTCCCGGGCTCGCGAATCGTAGACACTGGTCCTGAAAAGCCAAGTTTGGGTGAAAAAAAACCATAAAAATCAGCATTTTCTTTCTACAGGTGGAAAGACTCAGGACAGAAAAAGCGGAGCAGAAAACGTGTACTTACAGTTCCTTGATCCATAGTTCCGCCTGGAAGAAAGGGAGGCTATGAAGAGGGGGAAGAAGGAAGAGGTTGGAAAAAATTGCCAAAAAAGTGATATTTAAGTATTATCTGAAAACATCCCGGTTGCAAAAAGAGCTGCAGAGAGATCTGCCAGTGATTTGCAGCCGGGTGTCAAGAGATAGGGTTGATAAATCAAACCCCAGTTCCTCCAACCACAGCAAACTGGTTTCTCTTCAGGAGACACCCAGAAAGCCACTGGTCACCTTTTACTCCTCGTTTTCTCCCCTCCAGGGAATTAAAAAAAGCAAATATCACCCACCCCCTTCCCTCCAGTTTTAGAGCCTCTTACCTTGGTGCTGGGGTTCTGGAATCCTTCACCTTGAGCAAAATGACAGAGTCTGACCCTAAAGAGAGAAAAGTTAATGGAACGTCGTTATCCTCCCAATTACTGCCCAGTTCCCTGACGGCCACAGGAGTTGGGATACTGGGGGAGGGAGGGGAAAAAGTGGGTTTGCCACAAGAATTTAAATCCATCACCAGGTTTTGGGGGTTGGTTTTGGGTTTGGCTGGGGTTTTTTTGGTTTTGGGTTTTTTGGAGGTTTGGTTGGGGGCTTTTGGGGGTTTCTTTGGGTTGGGAGCTTTTTGGGTTTGGTTTATTTTGGGTTGGGGGTTTTCTTTGGGGTTGGGTTGGGGGTTTTCTTTGGGGTTGGGAGTCTCTTGGGGTTTGGGTTGGGGGGTTCTTTGGGGTTGCGTTGGGGGTTTTCTTTGGGGTTGGAGGGTTCTTGGGGTCTGGTATTTTCTTTGGGGTTGGGGTCTCTTGAGGTTGGGAGTCTCTTGGGGTTTGGGTTGGGGGTTTTCCTTGGGTTGGGGGGTTCTTTGGGGTTGGGGGTTGGGGTTGGGTTGGGAGTCTCTTGGGGTTTGGGTTGGGGGTGTTCTTTGGGTTGGAGGGTTCTTTGGGGTTGTGTTGGGCTTTTTTGGGGGTTGGGGGGTTCTTTGGGGTCTGGGATTTTCTTTGGGGTTGGGGTTTCCTTGGGGTTGGGAGTCTCTTGGGGTTTGGGTTGGGGGTTCTTTGGGTTAGGGTCAGGGGTTTCTTGGAGGTTGATTCACCTTCAGACTGCGCGTTCGATGCTGGTAGATTTTCTTGCTGATGCTGGGCTGTGGAGTTATTTGGGGTTGGGGTTGGGGTTGGGTTGGGAGTCTCTTGGGGTTTGGGTTGGGGGTGTTCTTTGGGTTGGAGGGTTCTTTGGGGTTGTGTTGGGCTTTTTTGGGGGTTGGGGGGTTCTTTGGGGTCTGGGATTTTCTTTGGGGTTGGGGTTTCCTTGGGGTTGGGAGTCTCTTGGGGTTTGGGTTGGGGGTTCTTTGGGTTAGGGTCAGGGGTTTCTTGGAGGTTGATTCACCTTCAGACTGCGCGTTCGATGCTGGTAGATTTTCTTGCTGATGCTGGGCTGTGGAGTTACTGGACTGGAAGATACTGGAGGGATAAGTCGGGGGGGAGTAGAGGGGAGGTTTGTGCGAGGGCTGCTCGGGAGCTGGGAGGACACTGGCGGTGGAGCCGGTCGGTGCCAGGCCGTGAGCTTCAAAGAGCTTCGAGTTCTCCCTGGGAGCTTCTTTCACAAGGGTTTTGCTGGAATTTGAACACCTGGAGCTAGGAAAGGAGGGAGAATAAATTCCCAGGGGATCCGTGTGGGGCTGGGGGGCCGGGGCAGAGCATTTCTCATACTCACAGGTGGAAGGGGAAGAGCGAAGAGGGCTTGGAGGTGGAAAACTGTTTCCCCGTGACCATCTGAAGCAACTGCCTGTAGATCTCCCGCTCTTCCTCTCGAACCGTCTGCAGGGAAACAATCGGGTACATGGAACCTTCCCCGTTTCAGCAAAGACACCGCGAAGAGGGAGCAGAGACAGGTGGAAGTGGGAGATTTTGAGGGGTATAAACACATCCAGGGGGTTTTGAAGGGTTCAACCATCAGCCACCACCAGATCGACCACCAGCAGAGCCAAGACCAGCTCCCTCCTTGGAGGAGGAGCGAATCCAGATGGAGACGGGTTGGTTGGAGCTTCCTCAAGCTCTTCCCGATGCTCCAAAGGGATCTCCTCGGAAATAACCCCCCACCCAATGGTCTCCTGGTCTTTTTCTTTACCTCTTCGGCCGTGCTGATGAAGCGTCGGGGAGTTTTCTTGGGGCTGAGGAGGCTGCGGCGACAGGGGCCGCTCCAGGAAGGGCTCTGAGCCGGTTTGATGGGAAAAGCCGAGGCGTGGCAGTGGTGGTTAGACTTCCCCCCAAAACTGTTGGATGTCCCGCTGTGAGGAGAGAGGAAAAAAAAAACCAAAGCACCACTTTTATTTCATTCCACGCTCGTTTTAAGTCTGGACCCATCCCCAAACCCTGCCCACAACCAGGTTGTCCAACTGTGATGAAAAATGAGCATTTTATTCGCGTTTTAAAGACCACAGAATCAATCCCAGAATGATATGGGGCGGGAAGGGATCTCTGGAGATCATCCAGTCCAACCCCCTGGTTGGATTCATCTAGTCCCTCCCAGTGTGGATTCATCCGGGGAGGGTTAGAATGTCTCCAGAGAAGGAGACCCCACCACCTCTCTGGGCAGCCTCTTCCAGGGCTCTGCCACCCTCAAAGTCAAGAAGTTCCTCCTCACGTTGAGATGGAACTTCTTATGTCCCAGTTTGTGCCTGTTCCCTCTTGTCCTGTCCCTGGGCACCACTGGAAAAAGACCAGCCCCATCCTCCTGACCCCCACCTTTGATGAGCCCCCCCCTCAGTCTTCTCTTCTCCAGACCAAAAAGCCCCAAGTCCCTCAGCCCTTCCTCATCAGAGAGGTGCTCCAGGTCCCTCATCATCCTCGTAGCCCTCTGCTGTCCCCTCTCCAGCAGTTCCCTGTCTTTCTGGAACTGGGGAGCCCAGAACTGGTCCCAGTGCTCCAGCTGGGGCCTCCCCAGGGCAGAGCAGAGGGGGAGGATGACCTCCCTTGAGGTTCTCCATGCTCTTCCTGATGCCCCCCAGGATGTCATTGGCCTTCTTGGCCACCACATTGCTGGCTCCTGGGCATTCTGCTGTCCTCCAGGACTCCCAGGTCTTTTTCCTCAAAGAAAAGGGTGAAAGCACCTCAAAGCCAAAGCCCTGCTCTCCAGGGGCTTTGATCTGAGATCATTCCCGAGGCTCTGGTGGCCAAACCAATGCCACCAGGTGGCACTACGAGGCCGAGGAGCCACCAACTTCAAACCCCCGGCCACAGGGACCTTTCCACCAGCTCCCACTTCCATCCACCCACCACAAAACGGCTGATACCAGCCCCGGTATCTTTTCTTTTATCACCAGCAGCCGGTGCCCTCCCTCCTCTGGCTTTTCCCCCACGCTCGGGCTCATCTCATTTCCCATAAAAAATTAAATACAGGGGGAAATTTGGCATTTCTCCCATTGAAATTAATTTTTCCATGATTCCCATTGAAATTCCTTTTCCCTCTGGGGGGATTTTTCAGGAGAAATAAAAGCCTTGACCCGGTTTGGAAAGGTCTGAAGCAAGAGGAGTTTATAGGGTCTGGGAAAAGAGCTCCTGCAGGAAGCTGGGGGGGGTGAATTTATCACAAAACAAAGTGTTATTTCTCCCCCAGGTTCCCAGTTGGGGTAAGGACATTCCCATTCTCATCCCAGTGCTCCCCAAGACGCTCCAAACCCCCCCCCAGCTTCCACGAGAGGCCGGTCACCCCACACTCTGCCCTCTCAAAACCCCCTTTACAAAGCGACTTTGCCACCAGGGGGGTTGATAAACAGCAAAAAGCACCCCCAGACCCACCCAAACTCGCCCCCCCCCGATGTGATTATTTCCTTTCTGGGGGGAAAATCCCCACCTGGACTTCCCCCCCCCTCCCCAGGGCTCCGTGGGGAAGGGAAGGTGGACGTACCTGGGGTTTTTGCGAGCGTCGAGGTAAGAGCTTCGGCTCAGCCTGGGCTTTTGGGGGACAGAGCCCAGAGGGGGGGGGACCAAGCCCCTCCATTGCCCGTTGGCGCTGGAGCCAAAGGCTTGAGGCTCCCCTGTCACC